AGTTTTTCTTCTCAATAAATGTTTTGGATCCCTAACAAATGAAACTCGTATCTTTCGGCCTGCGTGATTTTTTCCCATTCTAGGAAAAGAGCAAGTTCCATTTGAGAAAAGCCCACCACCTTTTAGTCCACATTTAGTCATTGTCAGATCTCACCGACAGTGGCGACCTTCGTTTCTTACGCGTCTGTCCGCTTGGAGTGAAATCGCAACACAAGGTTTCAACTTGATACATCACCCCTCAGTTTACGGTGTCAAAATGAAACCATTGGAAGATGTTCTCTCGGTATTTGATTCGTGTGTGCTGTAAATGATTACAATGACTTTGAATAGTTTACGGAACCAAACAGATCGTATACTGTTTCCTCGTTCGCATTCTGACCTATTGATGGCATCACTGCGAGCCCCCACCACCAAAACTAATACCGGCTCCACTGTGCGATTGTCATTGCACAATCGATAATGCACGGACTTTTATATCCTAATGCATTTTGTTTTTGATAAAGACAGTTACCCGCACTCTTACCACGAAATCGTTCACTTTACTGGGTTGCAGGAAGCATTAAGATGTTATATATTACTAGTTATATCTTCCATCGAAACCCCACCATAGTTGGATCTTAATCGCTTCATATGGATAAAGCCATGGCTCGATGACAAGAGGAGTTTTTTCACCACGACGTGAATCAGTGCAGTGGTTGAGTCATCATTTGAAATTCTGATGATAGATCACGATTTTGTTTATTTCGTAGTATTCACATACACGTTTAGTGAAACAAACAGTACAGAGTGAGAGTCAATTAAATGTTTGCATTCCAAATCCTCATCCTCACTGTATTTCAGATATCTTGGTGGAAAGAAGGATGGTTTCGAGAACTTTCCCTTGGTTTAGAGACATACAATGAGAGATATCGTTTGCCGAGAGTTTCCTATCAAGACTGGACTTTACAGATAAACAATGCTCAACCGGACGATTCTGGTGTATACGTGTGTCAGATCAATTTGGAGCAAATTGTTGAGAAATTTTTTGAAGTTCAAGTTAGAGGTGAGTACATGCCTACTGTGAATTGATCCATTGCTACAATTTTCAAATCCACGAAAAAAACATATGATATTGCATTGTTTAATTCCTTACAGCATTTGATGGTTGGTTTTTGAGGTACACAACGAATATCTTCTAGATTGTTGCAGGACTATTTGTGTAGCTAATAAGCGAATACTATTTCCAGGCCAGGTGAGCAAAACTGTTTTCAATGGTTGACGCACCAATGTGACACCGTCAGGCAACATTGGTATGCTAATATATCAGTTTACTAGGCTTGCGATGGAACCTCAACATGTGACCAAACGTCCCCAGCTGACCAATGTATTTCTCTCATTTTGGAGAACTTTCTTCGAGTATCGAACGTTACTTCCGATTGATGCTTACGATTTTATGTTTTCTCAATTGCGGCAAACAAAATCACGCCAACCGATGTTTGTTGAATACCGCTAAGTCGGAGAAGTAATAGATAAAAGGTAATTCCTGAATTTGTTGAAATGTAACTGCTATGCTCGTCAAGCATGGGTTGACAATGCTTTGAGTAGCGGAACTTCATGTAACGGTGCGCCTCTATCTCGATCGTGGGTACGAGATCAACCGCATAGTCGGACAATCATCAGCAGAATTAACAGTGATTATACCTAATGATTTTCCTTCGACGTTAAGTTGCGAAATCTGAGAAATAACCAACACATAAAAATAATGGCTGCTGAAGTCTGTCCGCAGAAATGCTTGTCGCGTGCGTTGAACTGGCCTTCAACATTTCCCTCGACTCCACAGAGAGTGATTTCTGTTAGGCAGTTGAGATTGTCTTTTCAGGCAAAAATGTAGACTAAATTTTCGATGACTTTTACTCTACTCTCTATAAATTGATTTACGGTGCCAACAGCCCACATAAACTGAGAGACGTAAACTTCAAACGAAAATGCAGTAAAAAGCAAGACATTGAATGATCTCTCCGATGAATTCACATGTTGCAAAGTTGGATTACCAGCCGCATACCTCCCAGTCCAACCTTCGTGAATACTTTGGCGGCAATGATATCGAATACTTTTTATTACGTTGAAGCAATACGCATCTTTTACGAAACTCTAGTAAGGGAATTAGAATCGAATCCATACTAGATTTCTTCTGCTCACCGAGGAAACCATCTTCAAGACAATAGTTAAACAAATTATGATTTCAGTCCTACTAACACCATTGCCAAATTCACGTTTGTTCCTTAAAAGATGGTCCGAAATTACTGCAATATAAACATTCAGATTCTCGGATCAATTTGAATAAGTAAACCAGATTGCAAATGTTAATAGCGTAATTCATTATTTTTTTTCAATCTTTGCCACGTAGTCCCTATACGTATCTATATTATGAAAATTATTTTGACTGCAAAATGTTGAGACCTCATCTGTGCATCACCCATAAACATCATCCATAAAAAATATATTTTGTGTATATCAGCTCACACATCACACATGCATGTAAGAGGCGATCATCAGGCAGATATCTGGCTGATCAGTTACAGCGCGGTTAATCACATGAAGCATGGTAGAGTACAACGTTATTTTTATAATATTTTTTTAAAAGTTTGAAACTAAAAATAGTCATTCAATGAGTAATTCAGTCATGAAAAGGCGAAAAAGCATTATCGAGCACCTACTTATTCCTGTTTGGGTATATTACGTATAGGGTATATATATGTATTGACCAATATTCAACAGTTAACCTTTCAACTTCTTCAGATCCAAATTTACAGCTTACTGGGTCCCTGTAAGGTACATCTACAACAAATAGAAACGGCGGATCTCACATATCGACAGTGAAATAAGAATTTGTTAAAAGGTGGAAATATTAAAAAAAACATTTGCTGCGTTTCAAAATCAATTTCATCCTAAATCGCAGTTATCAACGACCACATTTTTAAAACCAAAGTAAACTTCAATAAGAAGAAGACCCCCACGAGTTGCTCGATCATCCCGTCATGAATTCATCTAAAATTAGTACCGCTGACTGTTCTCTGTAGCGCAGTTAAAGTAGAAGAAACGAGAAACCACTCACAAAACATATGAAAGTTGAACGTAGCCTTGATGGTTTTCTTAAAATGGTTATAAAAATCAGTGGAATAGACGTAACCAACTTATTGAATTATTGTTGTCAATCAGAGCGCAGGATGTAGGAATGCGGCATTGTGTCAAATGTCTATCTGGAGGCAGTACATCAAACCTCTGACATATACATATGTTAGAGAAGTTCGTGATGTTCACGACTTTTGCTGTAGAAAGAAGAATTGTGGGCACATTACGGAACCAGTCTCCACATACACACCAAGTGCTTTCCCAAATCAACCGATGGACAATGGGCTCGCTAGTTCAAACATGTCCGTCAGCCATGGCCAAGCGGCACCTTAGAAGTCAATTTACCTCATCACGAAACTACGATTCCCCAAACTGGTAGTGAAAAGCACAAGTCATCGACTGAAGGCTTCCCCAAAATTATATATATATTTACATACATAAACATATTTACTGTTTCTGCGAGAAGCACACTAATAAAATTTGTCTAAAGACATCCGTATTCAAACAGCTCTAGTTACCTCTTGTGAAACATTTTAGAAAACTGTTCCCGACAAGTATTCCTGCAAATTCTTATTATCAATGCCTTGAGAAATTAAACGCTAAAATGGGCCGAAAATCAAAATGTGGAATCTTAAGAAAGTACTATACAGGATACTGAGTGTTGAAATACGGCCTAGAATAATTTGCAGTTATTCATTCATGAAAACAGCAGAATGCGAAATGATAAATTTCACCTCCTAACTAAATCCATTGGTTTATGAACTAGTACGTACGAAGCAGAATATCGATAATTCTAAAGTTGTGCATTACAGTCATTCGCAACAGGATGCTACGGACTAAATCAAGCCTCGTAGTAAGTGTTTGATGAACATCGTAAACCCAGATAAACTGCCCAGCTGTTGTTAATTTTTGAAATGTTCCATTTTTGCTTTGTATGTTTGTGTGTATGTGCTTGAGATACTCGAGACAACGCCAGATGTATCCGGTCGCTTCACTTATCGTGACCATTTATATTCTTCTTCAGAGAGGATAAAACACACGGGAATACCAAAAGCTCCGGAACATGAATTTGTAAAGGATGAAGCATTCCAACAGGGAATCGTGCCACGTAAGCTAATTTCTGTAGAATCAATATTATCGACGTGTGGATACATGTTCATTTGTTAAACTATTTTCCAATCAATTACTAAAAAGATAAGACGATCACATTAAAGGATACAACTTAAAGAATTTAACCATATCGTGTTTTATCCACAAAACTATCAATCAATCACATCAATGATCAACCGTGAACTGCTTGAAGAAACATAATTGTGTTTTGGAAAGTCAGATAATGTCGCACACATACGGCAATCAAACCGATCCATTTCGCATGAGGAGGAATGGTTCTTAAATTATGAGATTGCGAAGGTGAAAATCGGGCTGCATGGTTGCTGCGGCAAGGTGGAGGTTAAACGGGAATAAGAGAACTAATAAGTATAATAACAAAATTCTATCTTGCATAAAACACAATAATGCATTTCGTTTCATCTTAGTTCTAAAATAGATTCCATCGGATATTGAAGTTACTTACAGCCAGCTGTACTTAAGGAGAGCATCATCATCATAATCGCCATTCTAAAGAGAAATACATAGAAAAGCAATTCACTGATCGCTTCCAAACTCGCAAAGTATATTCACTGGGGTTTCACGGAGGGGTGCTGCAGTATGCAGAACGGTAAGGGTTCTCATTCAAAGCCTTTTGTTCTGACAAGATCCTAGAGACAAGGCAGCGAGTGAAGTGAAGTGGTGGCTCATTTACATGGATGAATTACTCATCCGTCATTTGCTATCGACGGAAACGCAAATTATAGTCGAACCTCCAACCTGGAGGACCAAGGGACTGGATTACGTTCGACATCCAACCATCGAACTTCCAGGCATGATTAAATTTTCGGTTTGCTCTTTGGGTGAGAGAGGTGCACAAGCCATCACAACATGTCAAGTTGCAGTCTCGTCGTGATGGCCACTTATATATATATATATGGCTCATACAGAGAAAGCATTGTAAAATCGGATTTCTGTTCCATGATTTCAGCTAATCGGTCTTTAAGAACAACAAGAAGCGCCAAGAGAATTATTGTGTTCTTTTTGTAATTCAAACTGACCGTGGTTATCTTACCCCCGTGCACCTGCAATCAGACCATGTTTGCTTGCTTTTTAGAATAAATTATCTTCAGATTAACGAAATCGTCTCTCAATCGATGGAATGATTTGGAACTATCTCCGCATACTACTGCACCCATCTGCCTTTTATGTGATTTTCGTGCTTTTGTTTCCAAAGACATTTGTAGTTGAATCCAGGCAAATTATAAAATAAGGCAAGAAGTTTAACAACCTCAATTCCTCGTTATCGGGTTGGGAGATCAATCCTTACAGCAAGCGTTATTAGAAGGCCGGAGTCCAGAAACAAACAATCATTTCTCATTTTAAGTTATTATCTGTTTGTTGCCATGACACTGGTAAATTAGGAACCGGTCATCTGCAAAATTATACAGCCAAATCAGATACGAAAATGCACAACGCGGAAATGTGAAGTCAACGATAGGTTGAGTGTTTGAAAATGACTGCTTTCACAACAAGACATTGAGCATTAAACACAACGGATTCTTTGATATTATCATTGCTATGAAAATCACTGAGCATATTTTTGTGTAGACAACGTAAATCTGATTGCGCGCAATGTTTAAGTTCAGCAAAGCAAAAACGGGAGTAACGTATTCACCACAGAACTAAGTGACATCGAAACGTTTTATTGAATAGCCCCTCATCTGTCGTCAGGATCAATTGCCACGGTAACAACACGTAACCGGTTAAATTTTCTCTGTATTTTTGAATAAGCTGATTTATATTCATAATAAATAACTCGACTAACGCGTGGTGACTAATTTACTCCAGGTTTTAAAAATCTTCTGATAGAAAATTTAGTTAGAGGACTACGTCCATTTTGGTGTATTCCGCATTGCTGCATGACACCATCTGATTGGTTATGAAAGTTGCATAGATTATTGGCACATACATCTATCTGGCGAGGTGATGTGCTCATAATTTGGTTGTATTCTGTATCAAATTATTTTTCAATTTTTCAGAAATGCGCATAGAGGGTCAGAATGAAGGATATGTCGGAACGACTCTTCGGTTGTTCTGCATTGTACAAAGTGTGCCGGGGTCAACCACTACTGCATTGATCTGGTCCCATGGCAGTGGTTCACAACGATATTTTCTCAGCCCGACGGCAAGCAGTCGAACCGATATGGAATATTTGCTTCGATCATTTGTGGACACAGACATATCGGAAATGCGAGGCTCCGGCCAGATTGATATTCGTATTGCAGATGAAGAAAACATTAAAATCACGACGGCCAAACAGGGAAACCATACGATTCGCAGCGAATTGGTTTTCGCACAGCTCACGTTAGACCACGCTGGGGTTTGGCGTTGTTCAAAACTCACCTATCCAATTGGACCAATTACGGAAGAAGCAAAGATGATGGTCTATGTACGAGGTAAGAACATTTGCTTGGGAATTGTATTTTGTGGGATATAACTACGGCTTATCAAAAAAGACCGCGGTTCATAAACAATAGTGACCGTTATTTTGAAAAGTTGTGGTGAATTGTGGACACTTGAATGATGATAAGGTGTCATTCGTACCCTAAAGGTAGTTGTGGCCTAGTGGTAACGTTGCCCCAGAGGACGAGCATTTGAGTCACACCACCACCGCCTGACTTTCCTAATTTTTGTGTTGTATGGCAGCCATTTGATTGTCCACTTCCCCTTTTTGAAAATTGTATCATGAAAAGAAAATTTATGGAAGGGTTTTGGGAGCACCAACGATCGGATTGTGAAATTTTAATTGGCTCATTAGGTCCAACGAGGATACTGTGCATATCTTACTCAAAATGCTGCGTATAATTATGCGAACTAAACTGTCAATGGAATGTTCTATACTCTTGTTGATCAAACTCATGAGACACGGATCTCATGAAAGAAATAGCTTTCTGTTTGTGATTTCCTGTTGGCACATAGATAACTGTAGGTAAAGACTGATGTGTTCAGTCAGATTTGCGAATAACGTATGATGAGGTACCCATGAGATTGCTCCATCGGTATTCAGACTGATCCATCGGACATCTGGTATCTGATTCGATCTGCAGTCATCCGATCCGAACTGAGTCTACCGAGAGTGTGGTAGGCGTGTCCGATGCGTGACGCGGGCATTGTATCAGCTTCAATTTTGCACGAACTTGATCGTCTCCATGACGCTCATAGTGTTTCGGAATTTGAACCACGTTTGATGTAACGCAACAGGAAAGTTTATTTTTTCTAAAACTTGGTAATATTTCATGGGAATGTTAACATTGCTGAATACAGGTCTTGTAAATACCGTATCTATTGTCAAACAGTGCTAAGAAAATACACTGATAATTTGCACCCCGTCATGAAAGTTTAAAAAAATGTTGTGACTCATAACCTTGTGAATTGAGCAGAGCAGATCAGATAAAATTCCTGGTCAGATAGGAGTTCGATCACTACCTATATATAGATGAACGAGCATGCATATATCAAGATATGAGCGTACATATGATAGCGCACGAGAGTTTCTGTTGACTTTTTAGTTTAGACTAGGTTTGTAATGAAAGAGCTGGAGGACATCCTGATGTTATCTGGTAGAAAAAGTCAATCGTTTGGACAAGATGACGGATAGTTATCAACCAAATTCTCAAGTGGAATACAGTTGAATAAATAATGCTAGTTTTATCAGAACCAAGGTTTAAAGTGACATTTATGTTTCATTGCTTACTATTTTTATTTAACCACTAAATATCTGCGTAATAACGTTTCGGAACGGCAATATGTGGGGTAAAATTTACTTAATAGCCTTTTACATTATTTATTATTATTATTATTATTATTATTATTATTACGAATCACGAAGCGCAACATTCAACAACATTTGCATTAGAACTTCCGCCCGATAGTTGCATACTTTGTGTTTCCAAGCACGCCACTGAAACATAAATGCTCGTCAAATATTCTTGACATTTACTTTCCGCGTTACTTTCGTTTCCGAAAACATTTTTTTTTGCGTGTTTTACCAGAATATCCGTTTTTGAATGACTTGATTGAAGTGAGACATTTCATGCAACGAACTGGATAACTATCCTTTGAGGGCTAATTTTTTCCTTTTACAGATAATTGGTCAATTACCTGTTGCTACTAATCAAGATCGCATGATCATGGTGGTGCGTTGTGACAAAGTATAATGTCACCAGTTGGGATGCTTTAACGCACAATTGAAACATGACGATGATGTTTGGTCAGTGGACAGATGCAATAATTTAGGCATATAAATACAAACGGTATAAGTTGTGACTGGATTTCGCAAAACATAATTGCACAGTCAAAAGATATTCCCTGAAGAAACCATTTTATTACATTGTACAGAATGTCAGTATACTTTCGTTTCGCTTACGGATAATTATTGATATTCTTTTGTTTTAAACAACCTATATGTTGCTAAAAATAAAAATACATTGTTTCCTCTCTTTCATTTCTGCTTTTGCAAACCGCACAGCTAAAAAACCAGTGATCAAGAGTCAGACAATCTCCACAACCAGGAGAAATAACAAAAATACGGCAGCACAATTCTCGGCAACCGGCAACCGCTGGATGCACAAATTGTTGTACAACAGTTTCTTCCTTTTGATTCTGTGCACCCACCGTGTGATTATATGAAAACCACAGCCAAACCAGACGCACCTCTATCTACCTATCTACGTTCCTATCTACCTGTTGATCTATTCACCTAAAGCTTATTCTAGATTGAGATGGAAAAACCTTGCAACTTGTACATTCTGTCTTTCAAGTATGATGCTACACTCTGTTTGTTTTGACAGGCTTATTTCGGTAACCCCGAACTTCCCTCCCAACTCGCAATCTAACCTTACGATGTCTTGATATGCATACAACATTGATAACGTTGTATTGTACAGAAACCATTGAAAGTAAATTTCAAAATATTCTATGGATAAAGAGTGAGAAATTTATAATGTGTACTTTAGCCGGAAAACCTCAGTGAATTATTGCATAATCAAACTAGATTCAATTCGAACACCATTTGATTGCGACTGAATGGGAACGAGCTTGTGTTTTTTTTGTTTCATTTGCTGAGTTTATATGACGCCTTCGATTTGTTGCCTAATCATTCCCTTTTGGAATCAACGGGTTTGCTCTTGAGCCAAAAAAGAACGCGTTGACTCCACGGGTTAATCA